ATTTCTTCAACAATCTGAATTACTTTACTGCGTATTTTACCTCTGCTATTTGTCTTAGTGGCAGCTGCCACTATAGCAACCTGGCACCGGTATCGTTCCTAGATAAACAGATTTATAGCTCTTTCCTGTTCACTTACTTATGTCGGCAAGGCATACTTTGTAATAAATGTGTCAATTTACACGCCAGTTTAACCTCGCATTAATTACCTAGCCCCAATTTCTTCGAACCCAGTTCACTCTGCCACCAGTTGTCATTCGATTCTTGTCTCAGGCATCCTCCTTCCTTTCCTGTTTTTCATTGCATTAATCCTTTTAAACTTAAATCCATGTATTCCCTCAGGTTCATAGTGTATTCCAGCCTAACTGGGTGGGCCAATTCATCTTCCCTGTTTCGTCCCTGTTTTATAACTGAATGATAGCCTCAGGTTTTTCTACTCCTCGATCTCCTCTGCCATAGCTTAAGGTTTGCAGTCCACGCCTAATACTTACTCATAAAGATCAAATAAAACTGTCTCTTGGACAAAAAATCCTTCTGTCCATTACTTTAGAGTAAGGAAAAGCCAGCATGGGGCTGTTACAAGTCCTGAGTTGGCAAGATAGCTCAACAAAACTAGTGACTGCATTTGACACTTGGAGGGCTATAACTGAGGTTTACGAAATGGATAAACTATGAAGGCCTCCTTTCAGCTACGTCTCCCTGTGACCGATTTAGCTTTGGAACGCTACTTTGTAAGGAAAGATCTCATCACATAAGTCGGAAAGAAATATGGACCTCATCTATTGGCCTCGTAGAGCAGGCTGTCGTTGTTGCTAATCCCATCTTGCATTGCCATTTTATTCATTATATCCTTGTTCCTCCCCACTGGTTAACTTGCTATGCCTTATACCAAAGTACTCTGTTATCTATGAATTCCTTCTATATTTCTACTGGATCAATAAGCCTCTATTCTGAAAAAATTTCCGGTTTAATCTTTCTCCCATTTTTTGATAAATATGATTCAGGATTGGGAGTCTACTAAAGTTTGGCTTACAAGTGCCTTGCAATCACATACTTCTTTATCTACTGCCTTAGTAGTGCTTGTTTCCACTCGATTAGATTCTCAAATGACAAGATTTACTCACCCTTCTCCCATATGCCTACAATCTTGCTTGGCTTGAGCTGGGATGAAAGCATATAGAAGTTTGGGTGACTTGTTTTCCCCAGAAGAGTCAGATTTTGTTTCATGCTGATAGGCTACAAAAATTAGATGAACTATGGGAGTTTTAAGATTTATGGAAATGTATGCAACTTCACTTCCTTCCTAGGGATGGTGAAGATAGAATGACGATACCCTTACTTGATTTGGTCTTGTTTTGGAAATTATATTATCCAAACTCTTTAGTAATTTTTTATTTTGTTATTCTACTGATCGATTTTAAATGCTCAGGTGCATAAAATAAGCTAATATTTGGGCTGCATACAATACTAATAGGAACTTCGAGATGCAATTATAAGATTTATATTTTTGTTTTTTTTACCTCATCTTTTTAAAGGGGATTTGTAGGCCTTGGCTCGTAGCTACGTTTCAGCTCTTAAATATCTTTAAGACCTATTTGTGAGAGTGTTTGACACTTAGGGATCATGCTAGGAAAGTAAAAAATATGTCAGAAAAAATGTACTACCATATGAGGTCTCCTCACCTGCCTTTGCTAGTTCGCTAAGACGTAAAGTTTTGATGGTCTAGTTGAGCGTGTGATCTCCAAATACCTAGTACCTACGGCTTCATACTGCATTTAGGTGAGGTCATTTTAGTAGCATCGCATGTCTTTATTCGTCTTTGCTACAAAATATTTTTTGAAATTGATATCCGACCTCTGATTTGTGACTGACTGCAGGAGTTGTAATAGAAGTTATCAGTAATTATATAGTGTCGGCCTTGTTTCACTCTAGGCCTCAGTAGCATACTAAAGATTTCCACTCGCTTTATCTTGAACAGCTTAACTAACAGTTAATTGTTCACCTATGGCGATTCGGAGAAACCTATTTTACGCTTAGATTTACTTCACGTTTCCTTTTCCATAGATGCCGAAGCCTACTCATCTTAGATAAGAATACTCGCACCCTTTCAGCCATTCACGGCTATATATAGCTTAATTCATTTATGTTGATTTTAAGTGTCTTAAGATATCTCATTCCTATTATGGATATTTTCACTACAATTTAGCTAGATAGAATGACTTGCCAAATGGTTTCCGTGATATATAATCAGACTTGCTTTTCAATATTTCACTTTTTTTAGATTTATGCAACAAAATCCCCAAATTCATTTACATCTTCGAAACACTTTCTCGTTTCTATGATAGTTTAACGCACTTAAGAAAAATGCCTTTATGAGAACTTGGCATTTAGTATTAAGATTTGGTGGTGAATCCCATGATGGAGGCATTTCTGGATCGCACTTCCAAGAGAACTGCATTTTTGTTTCAAAAGGACAGACTAGGTCACAATACAATAATTGAAAAATGAGAAACTATGAGAAATGATGACTTTTTCTCTGGCTCTGGGCTTCACTGGAAAGCTATAGAAGCCACATGTACATGATATTGTCATGAGCTTGCAACATTTTTGTGGCCGAGCCTTTTATTCCATGGAGTTGATTTGCTGCTCTGTTGCTTTAAGGAACACTATAAGAGCTAAATTATCCAATTTAGTAAATGCCGAAGTTTAATGTGCATGAATGTTCTTTAGACCCCGGGTTATCATCTTATACACTTTTTCCTCTTAGACAAGAGCTTTATTGATGCACAACATGTTTGCGCCGCATACATATATCGAAATCCAATAAAGGTTACTTAAAAGTATTCGGTATTCCGAAATCCAAATTTACTTCCTACTTAATGTTTACGGATGGCGGCAAATCAGCTGAAAACTAAAATTTTTCATATAGTGCTCACCTGGTATATGGTTCTGTCAATCCTTCCAATGTTATGAACAAATTGGTTGGGGAGTTATGAGATTAATGAGGAAAAGCTGGTACTCCATGGGTTTGTATCACCGAGTGGGAGGAACGCTAATGCCTAGAGTTCTGGTGCATAGGTGAAGGCGTCTGACTAATCCACTTGAGGTGTGGATATAAAGACATTTTGTATTAAACGGTAATGCTAGCAGAAATCCTGATATAAAAGTTAACAAAGCCATGCTTATTTTTGCCACCACGCAATTAGACCCACTGTTGGAACTCAAAGTTTACACACATTTGGCAAATATGACACATCTTATCTCCACTCCGAATAATTCAATTGTTGAACTGAATCATTTTTTCACACTATGTGCTGAGAAACTAGACCACCAAAAATATACTTTCTGAGCTTAGACAGTATCATTTTCCATCAATTTTGTTGTGGTATCATAGATATTTAGCAATTAAGGCAGAATACCAAAAATTGTTACATAGTTTCCTAAAATAAGCTTTTTTTAAGTTGATAGAATTCGTTTTCCACAAGTTTACAGTTTCGGAACTAGTGGCTTTGTAAAGTTGACAGATTTTCTCAAGTTTAGCTTGCGAAATTATCCCCTGGTTGTATGAACCGGAGCGCATTCTAATGACTATTATCGACAAACTACTTTCACAGAAACTTTCTTAAGGCAGATGCTATAGCAAAAACATCTAGATGATTCCAGGATTTGGAGACGTTTTAAACCTCAGCCATCTGAATGTACTGAGACTGTGAAGCAACCAATTTCAAATAAATAGCTCGAGTTATAAGGTTAGAGGACAGGATAAAACAAAGGAAAAATCAAGTGCATTACTGTTGCACAAATGCAATCCTCTTTTTGGAATAATAGGTGCTAAATATTTTATATCATTGTAACAGCATAAGGCTCTCGATCAATACAGTAGTTTGATAGGAAATACGTGGTGAAGACATTGTCAGTTAAGGTTATGAGGCCAGCCAGATTATAATCAGTTTTGATCCTTTTTGGCATGACTTACTGACAGCAAATTATCAATTGCGTTTCATGTTTTAACAATACGAGTTTGAACTCATTTTCTTTATTAGTTATGCAGCACTGCTATTGCATAACTATGCACGGTCACGCGATATGGCTTCGGCATTCCATATAATTGCTTATAGTGTCCATAAATATTGCAGATAACCTATCATATATTATGTGCACTAAATCTATTTGTGGGCAAGTAATAGGGTAAGCAATGCATGTGGGGGAGGCTTTTATCCATTCGAATGATCCAGATTTACATGAGAGAGTCGAAGATATTTTTTCCTTCTAGGCGAATTAGCATTGAGATGTCATTTGGGAGGATTATAAAAGAGGTGTTAAATAATGTTTTTTCTGTAGTATTGATATTAAATAGGAAAAGGTATCTTCCGGGTTAATTAATCTGCAGTATCTAGACTTTTTGGTGTATTGGTGCGAATACTTATATTTTTGTAAGCACATTGGCTGAAGAGCCAAATTCATCAGCAAATTCGTCTATACAAGCATGAATAAATCCAAGTATGGGATGAATTTATTAGGCTGAAGAAGAGGTACTTATGCATCTTAAAAAATTCAAACCTCTCAATGTGTACTGGGCAGAATATTACCTTATTTCTACAAATAACGTTCTGACCAAACCTGCATTCTCCTTTTCTCCTGCCCATCTGTAAATATTATTTACTCTGGATTTTTAACTTAGTTATCTATTCCACTAAAAATGTGCTCATATTTGCCCCTTTTCTATATTTCTGTCTTTTAAAATGAAATTCTGATTTTTGTTTTTGCTTTTTTGTTTCCCTCTGCTATTCCGTTGCCTTAATTTCAAATGTCTGGTCACATTAGTTGTACGCTTGTTTTGTTTTCTTTCTGCCTTAGTACACTCCACTATCTGCTTTCGTCGACCAACTAACCGTTTTTGTATCCCCTTTACCTCTTTTATGTTCGCCTTCTTCCATTTCTGCTCTCCTCGCTCGATGCCTTTGATGATGATAATTACTCGGTTCCAGTTGGCCACGCATTCATGAATTTTGCTCGTCGAGCCTCCCACGCTATAGAGGGTAAGGACAAGAAAGTGTCCACAAAGAAGGCGAATGGCAAGACTGGCGGAGATGGTGGCCATGGTGAGTCTGGCGAAGAGGAGCGCGAGGCCCTGACTGCTGCCAGGGCCAATGATGAAGATGCGGAGACTCTAGACGACGGACTGCCACGCCTGGGCGAATTGACGCGCATCCAGGTTCACATCACTGAGAGCACCGAATTTAAGGTGAGTACTAGAGAGAAAGGGCTGTTGCTTACCCCAAGCATGCGTATCCAGCGCACATCACTCTCAAGTTCGACTTGACAACTGATAATATAAACTATTTTATCTCATGAACTTTAAATAAAAGTAGCAGAGTTTATTTGCATTACAGATTGAATTGGAATTTTTCCTTTATAATGAATGAAAATTCTTTTTTTTCTTTCATCAAAATTTGAGCAAATATTTTGTTGGGCATGTGCATATGTGGTCATATTAATCTAGCTTTTTCAGTTACTTTTCTCATTCAAAATATGCAACCACTTACTTAATGTTTGAATAAATAGTTGCATTAACTTGAGTGCCTGGAGGCAGCGTAATTAATAGCATTTTAATCAGAAAATATTTTGATTGAACTAATGAAGCTAGTTTAATAAAATTATGACCCTATTAAAAAAAGTTTAAAATCACCTTGGAATAACAAGACAATTTCGATATTGACTTGATAATAATGTTGGTCGCAAAATTTTTAATCTATATGTTTGCTCGACCTTTAAATTATCTTACAAATTGACTTAAAGGTGACTTAAGTCAGGCTGGCTTTATCTATTATGTTATCTCATTAGTATCAAAGGAATGTAGATTATCAAGACTTGTACTGAATTGTATTCGGATTTTTAGAAGATCGTTAATATCAACCTTACTTGAATTATAATATAAAGTGTTTGTCTATACGTAATTATCATGTTTTTATAATTCAATCTAATAAGACTTGTTGAATTCAGTTATAATTGTTTGCCTTAATATGCAGGATAAATTCCGTTGAGGATTAGACGGTATGTATTTTTTAATAATAATAATTATTATATTTATCCTATTAAATTTTAAATATGGAATTTAATTTCTATGTTCCTTCTATTCGAAAAATAGGTTTTATTCTTAAATTTATTTTTATAGACGAGGTAATGTTATTTATATTGTCTTAGAACGGAAAGAAATTTAGCAGCTGATAATATCCTTATGAGGGAGTGGGTAATCTAATAATGTTTTTATGAAAATTTCACTTTTTTTTTTGATAAACTTTGCTTTCAAATTAATTTGTATTTTCAGACTATATTTATACTCGTTCACTTTTTTGCCGATTTAAATAATAAGTGTGAAGAAATACTTAGTTACAGAGGATCCCTCAATATATTGTGGTTGATGTTATTCGTAACTTGGCCTAATCGTTAGCCGAAAGACGATTGCCTTGTAGTTGTGACTGTAGATTTGTGCGAATAGGTCCTTGGCTCACCGCCCTGCAATCCCGTTTAATCGGTGCCGAGCTTACGTCTCACTTATCATAGGTATCATCACAATATAAAAGATGTCTTAAAGAATTTCGCTAAGTACTAAGTTTTATTTATTGGGGTCGGAGGATGGTGCGCTGAGGAACTATTCGCAGTGATAGTCACAATTCCAACGCATTCCTTCTTCGGCTTTTATTGAGGCAAAATTACAACTTCCTTCCACTCGCCTCTACAAACAAATTTTAAAATATGACGTTATGCAAGAACCTCTTAGTTCGTTGTTTCCTAAATTAACCTTTGTTTCTCAGGCTAATAGATATACTTCTCAATGAATGTGTATATCAAAATCCCCGCCTACTTCATAATTTTTTTATCGCCTTTCAAGAGCTTTAGTTTATTTTTTGTGTTTTTGGTTGATGACCTCAACGACTTAATGAACTAAGATATTGTGGATTATACTAATCGCATACCTTCATGTATAATGCCATAATTAAACTGAACAGAGTTTTACTTCATTCTTATAATATGCTACTCTATTTCGTGCTTCATTGGATATACGTAGATTCCGAAATAAAAGCATATATGTACTCGGAATTCTAATGTTTTTCGGCTGGTTCTGACTGACTCGGGACCATCCATTTAATGTTTGATCACTAAAAACTTTGGAAAAATTCTTTAATTCAAGATGATGGGAATATTTAAATCGTTTACATTTTCCGTTCATTTGGATTATTTCGAGTATAATCTTCAAGTACTGCATCGGCTTGTAAAAAAATTTATAAAAATTATCTGAAGTAACCTGACTCCAAATTCGTATGCTACTCTGAGCACCCTTGCTGTGCATACTGGGCTCGGATTGTCACACATCTTAAAAAAACACCTGGAACTGCAACATGCATGATTAATAACTTCAGTTTATCTTTCTAGCCAAATTCATTGCTCAGAGCTGGTAAACGAAACTTTTAAGAAGGTTGAATTAGTTTTAGATTATGTTTCCTCGGGTAGCCTATGGAGGCACTGAAGTGAAGTTTCGGACTTGGCAATCGCCTCATTTATCAGTCGGAAGTTACTTTGCGCTCGTAAACAATTTGTTGTTGAAAGCACGGCCGACGAAAGAGGTTGGGTTTCATGCGAATTCAATGAGTTGGTAGATCATTAATCCTAATTCATTTCGGCTTCCCAATGTATTTACTTTTGAATCTTGAGTTAGAAAACCGAATATTTGCTTCACTATAAAGTCTTGTAATGCATCTGAGTATCCCTTACTTCTTCATCGTTATTTGTCTTATCTAATCCTATTTGCTCATTAGTTCGGTACTATAGTATGCCACATCTGCGCTTTTCCAGAACTCTTCACTTTTGGCGGCTGTAGTTCGCCATGTTTTTAAGCTGTGTGAGCGCTTGAGTATACTTCAGCCTAATCCACATTGACCGGGCCTTATTGGTGCTGCCTCGCAGAGCCTGTCAATCTATTCTCTGAGAGGCTTGTGCTAGCACCTTATGAGGCTGAGGCGACCGTACCACATGATCTAAACTATATTAATGTGCACGACTTACTCCCTTCGCTTTCGACTCTCTAGCCCCCTCTATAGCATGCCAACATTTAGCCACTTATTCACCCAACCCATTGTCTCATTTTACTGTTTTGGTGAGTGTTTAAAGGTAGAGCGAACAAAATTGATTGTTTCTAATTTGACTCGAGCCTTCATCCCTTTATCTCTACTTGAATGAATGGTTGCTTAGGCTTCAATTTTGGCCTATTAAAATGCTACTAATTGGTATATATTTACTCTGGTCTGAGTTTGTTAGGTATAACTTACTATACATTCATTATGCATTCGCCTCACGCATGCTAATAAAGCAAATATATACTTTTTCCCTCTGGCACCTTTCTCCAGACCTCTATGATCGTGGCCTTCGGATAGCAACAAGGTGTATATGACTTAATGACTATGTGGGTGTTTCAAACATCTGTGCCATCAAGTCCAGACTCATCCATCTTAATCACTGTCTACTCTTGCATATGCTTTAATCACTATTTTCGTACTCTGCGCGACTTAGTTATTGATTACAGCGATGATTCCGTTCTTTTTTATAATCACCATACCTATCACTCAGGAAATATTTGTTCTTGTCATAGTTTTCCACGTCTTCGCGAAAACTAGCCAATATTTTTTCTTCTCTTTATCATCATAGTGCTTATTATGAAATGCCTTCACTCTATTTCGTTTAAGGTAATAAGCGAACTGGTTGTGTAATTTTTCCATAATCTTAGGATGGGACCTTACGTTTCTATTGAACTTTAAATACCCTTGGTTTCATCAAAATTGAAATAGAATGCAGTTTCGACCTCGCCTAGGTCTTATCAACAACCCTAGCGGAACTCGATTCAATAGAGTGCGGCCTATAATCTCGACACTGCCACGATTGTCCTTGGATCACAAGGCAGATGTAAATTTTAAAGAAGGCCAGGCATTTTTCCACATTACATTATGCATCGAGATTTTTGATTAAGCAAGGCTGTATTTGCTATACCAATCAATTACGTTACTTATTTTTCTTTTTATAAGCAGGTTTTCGAGGCTACTAATATACCATGTATATATATATATCTCCTGGGACCCAAATGCATTCTTGGCAACGTGGCGTAGTGGTTAACGTGTCGAGATTATGCGCTGCACTGTCGTTGTTTGAGTCTCGCTCATAATGTTGATAATACCTAGGCGAGGTCGGAACTGCAGTCCACCCTTAATGAGAATACCTTTTTGGAAGCAAGTTTATAGTAAATTCAATGGAAGCGTAAATGAAAAAATTACACTACCAGTCCTTCATCATCTTAAATTAAACAGTGTGGGAGCATCCTATATATGTATATATATATATATAATTCGCTGAAAGTCTCGAAAACATGCGTATAAAAAAAAATATAGTGCTTAATGCCTGTTATCTGTTGGACCTTTGTGTAGCTGGTTCGACGATGTGTAGATTAAAGCAGATCTTTTGTTCGGTGTTGTATTTAAACTCGTTTGTAAGTCCTCAGGCCTTGATTTGAACCAATCTTTAAGGGGGCCTCATTTATGAGGTATTCACGCTTGCCTTCCTTAAAATTACATTTAACTAGCTTTGGATTTCTCAGCCTTACATTTGGAAAATCCTTTACATTTCGCCTCACGAGTATTGAAAATGTGAAACAATTCTTCGGTTTTTTATCCGGCTTACTTTACTACTCAGGCAGTTGGTTTCTTGACATTTTAAGCAAATACCTTATATGTTTATCTCTTTATGGATACTTATGTTGGCCGATTCAATTGTTACTCTGATTAGATATCTTCTCATAGTACAATAAAAATGCGTAAAAAATTCACATAAGTTATTTTAAAGAGAATATTACTGAATAAATATGACATTTGCACTGACTGAAGCCCTTAGGTGTTGCTTACAGGTTAGAATTCGAAGCCCATGGGTCAGAATTAACTCATTTTCTTTACTTTTTAACCACTCCTCATCGCCAGTTTTGGAGCCTCTTGTTTTACAAGATACTTTTAGTTGATATCTGATTCTACTCCAGAGCATGAAACCCTACTTTCATATTTATTCTTTAATTTCC